ATGGACCCTCACTTTGAGTACATATACGCACAGAGAAAATGTTGCTTTGGAATCTACTGGTTTTTAGTCATTAGGGACAATTGGCTATCTGAGCAGGATGACTCTCAATGACAGAACTGCATGCACAAACTACCCCTTATCTTGATGTGCCATGAAACAGCCTTATCAGCTTTTTTCTTTGTCATGTGCAACACTGCCAAACAGAATGAATTGAAGCAGAGTGCAAGCAGACAGTATTTACTCTAAGCAAACCAGACTCAAGTTTTAAATAAAACAGGCTTAATAAAAAAGATAACAAAATCTGATCTAGCAGACTCTAAAACGGCTTGGCACAGAAGCCACCCTGCCCCAGGGAATCATGCTAGCCTCTACAGCAAGACCATGTTCCCTGAAACTAAATGTTACTGCCGTTGGTATGAGAGCCCCAAGGCCAAGGGCAGTGGATACAGGACCATGTTCTCAGCGGTGGAAGAGCAGCTGCGAGACTTCTCATTGCCAACCTAAGTCAGAAAAATAAATACAGCTCTTACTTCTGCGTCTGCCTTTGGGATTGAAGGAGTCACAGGGAAACATGAATTCAGTCCCTAGTCAGATGCAGGAGAACCCCAAACCAGAGCTTCTGTGACCTCTCCATCCTGAAAGCCCAACAGGCTCTGTGCAGAGAAATCCATGGATGGTATTTTATTTTTCTATTTTTTTCTTGTGCAGAGTTAGAAGACCACCCAAAACTTAAGCAGCTGTGAGCCAGGCACATGAAGGCTGGATCTGGAGCAGGCTTCATGTGCAATACAGCTGAAGTCAAATTCAGACAACTGACAACATTTTTTGGGCCTGGGTTGACTTGGAACCTCGATCCTCCCAATCTCAGCTTCTTGCATAGTTTGGGATGACAGGCGTGCCACCATGCTCAGCTGCTGATTGTGTTGATTGAGATGGTGGTCTTGCAAACTTTTTACTGGGATGGTCTTGAACCATGATCCTCCTGGTCCCAGCTTCCCAAGTAGCTAGGATTTCAGGCATGAGCTACTTGTCCTGGCTTCTAACTGGGGTTGGATGAGCTATACTTCTTGAGTCCTCCTCATGGCCTGTTAACCATGCATTGGTGATTGGCAATGTGCAGGTGCTGTTCTGCACACTTTCCCTGCACGACCATGTTTAATTCTCACCCGAGGGGCAGCAGCTCCTTCATTGGATGCAGTTGACTTGACATCCTTCCTCGTGTGGCTTCCTCTACCACCCCAGCTGCTGGTTCTGTTGCCAAGCCTCTTTCTGTTGGAGCCCCCTGATGTAGGCCTCATGTCTCTAAGATGACCACCTCCACCCTGAGGGCCTCGAACACCATCTTAGGACTGTGCAGTGCAATTTCCCATGTCAACTTCTTCCTGACCCTTAGTCCCATTTGCCCAGGGGCTGCTGCACCACCCAACAGACCCCTGAAATTTGACATGTCCCAAACTCTACTATTGATCTCCTCCTCGATTCTCCTTCCCCACTACACCCAAATATTCATGGTCCCCCCATAGTTATTGCTCCAGTTGTTCAAGCCCAAAACTGTCAGTCGTCCCTGACTCCTCTTTCTGTCTCCTTCCCCCACCCACAAGGAAATCCTACCAGCTCTGTCTTTGAATACATCTAGGACCTGATCGCTTCCCACCGCCTCTTGTCCCTGGTGAGCTACATCATCTCCGCCTTGCACTGTCAGTCCTCAAAGCCAGCACTCATGCCCTCCACAGTGCCTTGCCCAGTGTCTCCTCGCAGAGCAGGTGGGCTCCTTTCACGTGTCAGCCACACCATTCTCCACTCAAAACTTCCCGTTATTGTGGGTTATCCAGGCCGGTCCTAGATCCAATGAGACAGAGAAGATGACACAGGAGACAGGATTCACGACACAGGAGTCAGCAAAGTTGGCAGCAGAGAATGGAGTCCAGCAGTTCAAGTTGAGGACTGCCTGGAGCTGGCAGAATCTGGAAGAAGCAGGGAGTAGATCCTTTCTCGGGACGTCCAGTGGGAACCAGCCATGCTGACATCTTGATACCCAGTCTCCAGGACAGTGACAAAATAAGTTTCTATTCTTTCATGCCGCTAAGTTTGTGGTAACTTGTTACACAGCCTAGGAAACAGATAGCCTTAAGGACAGGCCACTGGACTCCCCGAGCCTCCCTTTCTCCATCTGTAAAATGGGACTACAATTGTACATCACTTAGTAACTGTAGCAGTAAACTGTGACACATATTTTACAAAATTGAGGGGGTGGTTAGTGTTCAAAAGAGATTTGTTCAGGACCTGGTGTAATGCTACAAGCCTGTAATCCCAGCTACTCAGGAGGCAGCAGTAGGAAGGTCAAGGTCTGAGGCCTGCCCAGGCAAAAGTTGGCATGAAACCCTCTACGAAAAACAAAATAAAGCAAAAAGGAGTGGGGTGTGTGGCTTAAGCACAAGGTCCCAAGTTCAATCCCTATGATCACCAAGACATTTCTTTTCCACGTGAAAGAATTTAGCATTGTCTTCAGTTATTATCAAAATATGGTAAAATAATATAAAAGTACTCAGAAGGGAAATTTAAAAAATCTGAATTTTACAACTCTAGAATAGCCACTTGCATTTTGGATGCTGTGATATATGTTTCATTTCTAGATTTGAGTCTTAGGTCTCCACTTTCCAGTCTTTGACCTTGCCTCAGCCTCCTTGTGCCTCAGCCTCCTCAGTCTGAGGATAATATCAACTCTTGTCTTCCAGGGTTGTTGTGAAGGTGAAAAGGGGCACCCTGTAGAAAGCAGCAGAAGTCCCAGGCCTGGCTTATTGTCTGTAAGTAGGGAGGAGAGGGTGAAGAGTTACTGGTCCTGAGCATCCCACCAAACGTTGGCACACAGGTGTCCTTACTGACGCTCCAGCATGGCACCCTTTTCTCTCGGCCTGAGGGTATGCTCAGGAGTCCTTCTCTTATTGCCATCGGACTCATTTTACCCAAGCCTCATCTCTCCTGGGAAGGCCCCCATTGACTTGGAGTGCCATTCGGTGCCTTCCCTTGACCCTTCCAGCCCTGAGCTCACCCATCCCCATCAAAGCCACCCCACGCTTCTAGACAGCTCAGAACTTCTGAACTTAACTTCCACAAAAGCAGACCCCGACTCACTCACCTCCGTGTTCACCGCTCCTGACCCATGATAACTGTCCAGAAAATGCTGGCTGAATAGCAGAGGAAGAGGAAGGAACAGATGCTCGGGACACACGTCTGGAGACCCTCTGCCTTCCTGGCCCCTCAGGGCTTGGGCAAGTGCTTCTGCTGTCCCCAGACCTCCTGGGGTTCCTTCTACTACAGCAGAACTCAGTCATAGTCTTTGTTGGCATGCGTGAGTGATTATATGATGTACCTATGTCTACACTGATACACCAGCCATTCTGGGCTAATACTTCAGAACAACACCCTCCAACGGCAGGGGCTTATCAGAGCACATATTTCTCTTGCTTGTAAACCTGCAGCTCTGCTTCCAGAAGCGAAGGGGTTAAGGCCTGCAGCTTGGCCTCTCATTCTTGGTAGAGAGACTACCCAGGACAAGTGCTTCTTGTGCGGATGGTAGAAAAACAAGAGAGAGGACATGTGTGGCATTTCTTAGGGCCCTCAAGCACAAGTGGTGCTGTCCTTTCCCCCCTAAGTACCACAGCAACTGCAGGGAGAGAAAGACTGAGTAAATTGTATAATTCACAAACAGTCCATTGTTGAGTACATACAAGTTCTGTTCACCATGCTCCAAGGACCAAAATCAGTTCACTTACTCCTCATAACACCCGTGGAAGGGGAGGGGTATTATCAGCCCATTTTATAAATGAAGGAACCAAGGCCCACCAGGTTAAGCGATCTATCCAAGTTCACCTGTTAGGATGGAAGAAAGACCCCAGGCTGTGCCTGAGTTCATTGCCTCCCCCTCCTCCTGGAGGCTTCTCCTTTCCCTGCATTTGCACTTAGCCTGGCAGACAGTCCACATCACCAAAAATGGCAGAGTGAAAGGCGGTCATATTTATTCATCAGTCATTTACTTTATTCCAGGCAATGTCGCCTACTTTTATAAACAGTATTTCAAAACATCCCTAACAGCAACCCGGGAAATTAAGATCAAACACCTCATTTCACGGGTGAGAACTCCAGAGGAGACTTACACTTAGTAGGTGGACAGCCAGCTCTGGAATTAAGGCCGTCAGGGCCAACACACTAGCTGGAAGCTGCTTTCTGTGGTCCCTGGAAGGGTTGGCTGCATCAACCCCACCACTCAAGAACGCCAGGAGGGGCGATGGGAGGGGGAAGGAGATGGGGCGGGAGACAGAACCATCACCTCACTTTCCGCCAACGCGCACACAGTGGCTCCTGGCGTCCAGCAGATGGCAGGACGTGGCCAGAGAATGCGCGGCCGGGAGGGCGGGGCGCTCAGGGGCGAGCGCTGGTCCTTAGGTGCCCCATCCCTGGCACATCTTCCCCACCCAGGGTCCCCAGCTCCCGCCCAGGGACCCAGATGGGAGCCCCACTCCCAAATCGGTGGCCGAGGTCGCCCAGTTTGGGTGAATCCTGAGGCCCACGCCCGGCTCTGCCCAGGGGGTTAGATTCTGGGCCAACCACCGCTGTCTCCTGGGCCTCAGTTTCCCTATGTACAATGAGGGCGCAGATTACGCTCCGCGGGGTCTAGATTCTACTTTCATTCATTAAACATCTAGGAAAACACAGCAGAGGCGCCTCTGTTGGAGACAGAACGGTCCCAGCCCGCACTGTTCAGCGGGGCCAGGTGGCACAGCGGGGGCCCCTCGCAGCCTGGATGGACGACGAGTCTCGGAAGAGCGCAGGGACCGGCGACCCTCAGCCTGCCTCACTCAGAAACCCCCAGCAATGGGATTTCACTCCAGGGCTGCGGCGAGCGGCGTGGCCCACGCCCCCTCCTCCCGCCGCGCCCCTCTCCGCGCCGTAATCGCCGGGTCCCTCCTCCTCCTCCTCTTTCCCCTCCTCCTCCTCCTCGCCCTCCTCCTCCTCCTTCTCGTCCCCGCCACCACCCGTCCCTCCCCTCCACCCCGCTGCAGCGGGCGACAGCGCGCGCGGTGGCCCCGGCGCCGGGACTCCCCGGCTTCCTACGGGCGGCGGCGCGAGGCGAGGGGGCGTGGGCCCGCGAGCGCAGCCCGGGGGGCGCCCGGGAGGAGGGGGCGGCGGCTCGGTCCCCGCCCCTGCACCGCGCTCGGCTCCGGCAGGCTCCGCGCGGCTACAACCTGGGCTGGGCGCTCGCTCCCACCGCACCCCGCACCCCGCGCCGCGCATCGCGCACCCCGCATCCCCGCGGCCGGGCATGTAGCAGCGGCAGCAGCGGCGGAATATGGGCGGGAACCACTCCCACAAGCCCCCCGTGTTTGACGAGAACGAGGAAGGTAAGAGGGCCGGGGCTCCCGCCACTCCCGCCACTCCCGCCCGCGCAGCCCCCATCGGGCGTCGGCCGGGCATCCCTGCCTTCCGCCATCCTGTGCCGAGCCCTGCTGCGTTTCGCGCGCCGCCAGGAGCGGGGACCCGGGAACAGCCCGATCGCCCAGAACCGCGGGCTGCGGGGACGGCGCCAGGCGCGGGGGTTCCACCGCGGCAACTCTCACATCGCGTGCTCTTTAAGGGACAGGACGGTGCCGGGCGCGGGACTGGGGCGGTCGATTCCGGGACAAGCGTGGAGCCCCAGGCTTCACTTGGGTGGAGCAGGGGACAGCAGGCTTCGCAGGCGAGCGAGGCTGCTGCTCAGGCTCCGCTGCGGGAAACGAGGTCGCCTTCAGAGCTCGAGGCTGGGGAGGGGACCCGGGCGGGCAGACCGCACCGTGTGTGCGTGTGCGTGTGTGTGCACGCGCGCCCACCGCCCATTTGGTCTCGCGCACGGGCAGGTGACATGCTGCCCTCTCCAAGTCCCCCAGGACAGCTTAAGGAAACTTTCTTGGCTAAACTCGGTGGCTCTGGGGAGGGCATCCTAACCCTCCCTGGCGGCTGAGTGGTGGAGGCTGTCCAGCTTCACCCACACTCCAGGGCTGGGGGTCTTTGCGGCTCAGGTGGCCTTACAGAACCCTACTTCGAGCGCTGTGTGTCCATCTGTAACTTACTCAACCTCTCTGAAACATTGCCTATGAGAGGAGAGTTACAATGCCCTCCAGCCTTTATAGGGTTGTTCCAAGCTAGCTACTAGCAATCCATGTCTACAGTACCTTGTAAACACCAGCGGTCCAGAGTTGAACCAATAATAATCTTCTGCCTCCAAATGCTGGCTTCCTGCCCTGCTGACTCCTATCTGACCTGTGCCCAGAATGAGAGCGAGGACATACTGGGCCTTCCTCAGTGCTAGGCACCGTTCTGGGTGTCCACTCAGCCCTCACAGCTCCCCAGGAAGTAAGTACAGTTGAAGAAAGGGGCTGAATAGTCACAGACAGTAAGGGGAAGGGCTGGCTCCCAGGCAGGGTAACACCATTGAAGCTGTGATTGCCACCACTGCTTGGGGTACAGGTTTGGTGTGCATGAACCATGATTTCTAGAACTACCAAGGCAGGGGGTGCTACTTAGATGTCTGCCAGGACAGCCTCTCTCAAAAGGCTGGGTGAACACAGATGGACAGTGAGTGAAGCCAGTACCTGCCGTGCCAGCCTGGAGGACCTTCCTTAAAGATACTCATGGTCTGGTGGCCTTGAATGACCGCCGACGTTCAGAAGGGCCAGCGCTGGCCTGGGGGTACTGGGTGGTCTCAGCTCTTCCTGGTCTTCAGTCTGGAGCACTGAAGGGTTGGTAGAAGCTAGGTGGGGACAGAAGAAAGTGGGGAGGGTCGTGTGTGTCCCAGTAGGAGCTGAGCTGAGACACTGCAGCATCACCTCTGATTTGTAGGAGTTCGTGGTTCTATCTTGGGTCAAGGTCATGCTTTAGGTAATTTTCTTAGCGTTTTTTTTTTCTTTCATTCTCTTTTATTTGCAGAGGAAATTTATCACCATTATATCAACAACTTTCTCTGCACTTTATCCCAGAAATATGCTTTACAATATTTATTGACAAAATAGTTCTCTCTAGGGTAGTTAGCCTTGTGGTGTTACCGCTGGGGTCCGTCATTTTGAAAGCAGATCAGATCTCAGGTTAACTACCTGTTTTGGTGCCGGTTGAAATATAAGGTCAAGGCTCTCTGGTCCAGTGACACATTAACTTTTTGATTATGCCAGCATATTCCACACAGATTTTCCTGTGTAAGTAAAACAATGTTATTTGCCACTAACAGGTTCACTGATTTCTTTTCTGCATCCATCCCTGTGCTGGACGCCAGGAGCAGAGGCAAGATGGAGGGTCCCTAACCCAGAAAGCAGGAGGAGGGGCAGAGAATTCCCCCTTCGCCACTTCCCTGTTAGGCTTGAATGTAGCAGAAATGGCACCATTGTCCAGAGAAGGACATTTCAGAGGGATGGAAGAGAATGTGCAAAGACAGATGTTAACACTTTTGCAGTGTGGAGGGTGAGAGTGGGGGACCCCAGAGGTGACCCCTGAATGCTCCAGCCTTAGAGTGCCTGTGATGGTGCTTGGTCTTGATCTTACAGGCATTCTGGAATCACTAGAAGGGTTCAGGAAGGGACGTGACACAATCCAGTGAAGACATGTTCTCCCAAATCAGAGTAGTCATGTGGCTAAAGGAGCAAACTCCTGCCTGGGCAGAACAAGTGTGCTTTTTAGACTTTGATGCTAAACCACTGGAAATGTGCTGCTGCCTAATCATGCCAAACTCATCTCTGTTCTCGTGGCAGAAGCTGAACTTCCTGTGTGCAGGTGATCAGAGCTGTTCATGCTGTCAGAATCACGTCATAGATGAATGGGATGCATTTCTTTTTTTGCAGTGATGCATCCAAGGTCAGGAGGGAGATGGCATGTTTACTGAGCCTTCTTGAGTTGCAAGTGTCAGAAAAGCAACTGGAAGTGCCACTTCTTACCATCTTCACAGCTACTACTCTGTTTCAGAAGATGGTCACAGCTGTTGCTTAGGTTGTGGCCCTCTTATGCTCTCCTTACCTCTGCTCTTATCTCTTCAATGTCACCTCAGTGCAGCAGCCAAAGTGACCCTGTTACAATGTGTGTCAGGCCATGTCAGTCCTTTGCTTAATCCTCTCCTCCTTATAGATGCCCATTAGGCTTTACCCTCTGGGACTTTGCCTCCTCCTTTGTGCTCAGCCCACCTGCCTCCCTCCTGTTCCTCAGACAGGCCTGGCACCCTCTACCTTGGCCCTGGCCTCTGCTCCACTAACCTGAGGACTTCTCCCCCAGTGTCCCCTCCCTCACCTCCTTCAAGTTCCAATGCCCTTCCTGGCTTCATTTTCCTTGTAGCAATTATCACCACCTAGCATACTATTTATCTTACTTATTTTTTGTCACCTTTTTGTGTCACTGTAAAATGTGCGAGATAAGCAACTTATTGGGAGGAAGGATTTATTTTTGCTTGTGGCTTCAGGTTTCAGTGTATGGTTGGTTGGCTTTGTTGCTTTTGGGCCTGTACTGAGGCAGCACATCATGGTGAGAGCACATGGCAAGGTGGCACACTTGCCACCTGTGACAGAGGAAGCTGTTCACCTCATGGCAGCTGGGAGGCAAAGAGAGATACTGAGGCTGGGGCCTCAGTATCCTTACACAGGATCCCCAGTGACCTAACTTCCTTCTGTTTCTGAACCCAAGTCCATTACTTGTCACTTGAAAAGGGCCCAATGATTATAGGACAAATTATTGGGATAATAGTAAAGATTTATTTGGAAAACCAGCAAGATGGAGAAGATGGGGACTGTTGTCTAGATGGGTCATCTTAAAACACAGGTTTTAGGATTCTTTTATTTTTGGAAGGAAATGTCTGGGAAAATGTGGTGGCTGGCACTCTCTTGATTTGCATCAGTCTTGAAGGGGGAGGAGAGAGATGAGGGAAGTTTTGCATAAATCAACCTTATGTTGCTGGTTTAAATGATTAAGGAAAGCCATGTGCTCAAGGAGGCCCAGGCTTTTTCTAGCAGAAGATAACCATAGGTGCAGCTACATCCCATGTACTGAAGTTTCCACCACCTCCTGGTGGAACACAGGCTGGTGACAAAGTCTTTAGTACATGGGACTTTGGGGGACATTCAAAGTCCATACTTGAACCCCCTGTGTCTTCATCTACTCAGTTACAAGTGCCTTAAAAGAAGGAACTGTGGGATTGTCTCTTCCTAATGAGTTAGAAGCTCTGTAAAGAGAGGAAATTTAGGAGGTTTATTCAGTATTACAGACACAAGGCATAAAACCATACTTGGAACGTAAGAGATGCCCAGTAAATTTTTGGCAAGTAAATGAATGAGTACATCAGTCTCTTCAGACATGGCTAGAAGTAGGTTTCCAAGTAATATCAGGAATCTGCTTTCATTGGTGGTACCAGGGTTTGAACTCAAGATTTTGCATTTGTGAGGTAGGTGCTCTACCACTTGAACCAGAGCTCCAGTCTTTTCTGCTCTGGTTATTTTGGAGATAGGATCTCACTTTTTTGCCCAGGCCAGCCTGGACCACGACCCTCCTATTTTATACTTCCCACCATCGCTGGACTGACACGTACAAACCACCATGGCCAGCTAGTGGTTGAGATAGGATCTCGTAAACTTTTATTTTGCCTGGGCTGATTTGGAACCACAATCCTCCCAATCTCAGCCTCCTAAGTAGCCTGGGATAAGAAGTGTGCCACCTTGCCCAGCTATTGTTTGGGATCAGGTCTTATGAATATCTTGCCCAGGCTGGCCTGTGTGTCATTCTCCCAATTTCAACCTCTCAAATAGCTAGGATTACATGTGTGAGCCACTGCCACCTGGTAGTCTTGGGCCATTCTTGAGTGAAATACTGCACCCAGGGAGAGAGGAGGCTCTAATTAGCCAGGCTGGGCCACAGGTTCATGCTTGAATTCAAGTGATGGAGTCAGAGCTATACAACATGGTATATATTCCCAAGGAGTGCTGGAATAGCAACAGAAGTGGGATGCTGCTGGGCAGGAGAGTAAAAGAAGAGGAAAAGAAACCCAAAGCACCTACTCCAGACCCTCTTACCATTGTGTTCCTTGGGACACCGTGGCTTATCTCACTCAATTATTAATTCCATGTTGGTGTTAGTCAGTTTTCTCTTACTGTGACAAAATACCTGAAGTAATCAACTTATAAAGAAAAAGGTTTATTTTGGATCACTTTTGCAGGTTTCAGTCCATAATCAATTAACCCCCTTGCTTTGGGCCTGTGGTAAGGCAGCCCATTGTGGCAGAAGCATGTGGCAGAGGAAACTGTTTACCCCAGGGCCAGGAAGGAAAAGAGAGTGAGACAGTGTCCCCCTTCAGGGGACACCCACAGTGATTGACGACCTCCCACCAGCCCTCACCTCTTAA